ATTTTCGTTCTTCTTTTTTTTTTCTTTTTCCCATTCATTTCTAAAATCAAAATTATCAGAAGAAAATCGTTTATACAGAAGGAACGTGACAAATGTCCTCTCCCAATGTTCTTTGCCAAATTATCCAGTGAACAAAAGTCAAAGTCAGATTTCAAGTTGTTCTTTTTTTCCTTTTTTTTTTTAATGTATATATATATATATCGAGAAATAGATCAATCTTATTAAATGGACAGATCATGTTGCGTTCACAATTATTAAGAATTATTCGTAACGATGTCTCCAAATTTATATATCTCGGTTCATCTAACCTTCATACGTCATCGTATCTCAATATAAAAGGATTGACAAAAAAAAAGAATGATAAATCTTGCGAGCCTCCTAAAATCGCTATAGTGAGTATATTAGTATTAAACATTTTTATTCATTAATTTACTACCTGGAACATTCGAGTTTAGGAATTAACTCGTCGACGAATATAAATATAACAGGGATTATAACGAGCTAATAAAAAAAAATTAACGATTATAAAAAAAAAAAGAAAAAAAAAGAAAAGAAAAAAAAAAGAAAAAAAAATTCTTTTTCTTTTTGATAATATCTCGCAATACATGGTCACGTTAAATGAAAGAATATCTTTCTATCTCTTGGGTTAGCATGCAAACGAAAAAGTATATCGGTTATATGCACTTTCGCATCGTGATGTAACACAAATGTTTTCTCGATGCCCCGAGCCAGAAACCGTTTTAACGTGTTTCCCTTTATATAGCGATACTTATAAGAAAACTTAGCGACGCGTACTTGCGAAAGTCATTACGAGGGAGGCTATTAATTATTTGCCTGTATCTCTCGTATTTGTATATTACGTGAACGTTATTAAATATAAAAAGAGAAAGATAAAATGATATGAAATAAAAAGAAAAAGAAAAAGAAAAAGAAAATGCAAAAGAAAAGCAAATAAAATAAAGTGGACGATGAAAACACGAAAAAGAAAAAAAAAAGAAGAAAAAAAAAAAAACTGGAGTAAACTATTCTCGATCTTTTGCATACGTTTGAAAATCTTTTCACGTCATGATGTTTTAATGACAAAAAGAAAACCATATCGATTTTTTTGCTTTATGAATGTCTTTAGATCTTCGATCTTCGATCCGCAATAATCCGACAATTCTTTTTATCTTTTCTTCTTTTTTTTTTCTCCCACTCTCAATTCCAGATACTTTCTGGTTGCGGTACGCTCGACGGCACGGAAATATTCGAATGTATGTCGGCGACCTTACATATATCCGAAAAGGGAATGACACCGACATTTTTCGCACCAGACGTCGACATTTGCGAGGTGATCGATCATTATACAAAAGAACCCGATAATAGTTGTAGCCAAAGGAACGCATTAGTCGAATCTGCCAGATTGGCACGTAGCTGTATACAACCATTATGCGAATGCGAAGCATGTAATTTCGGTGGATTAATTCTTCCTGGAGGATTTGGTGTTGTTAGAACCTTGTTAGTAATAATATTCATTGTAACATTATTAATTCATATTGTCGTCATATTTCTCTTATATCGTTTTATTTATTTATCTATTTATTTATTTTACTTATTTTATTTATTTATTTATTTTTTTTTTTTTTTTTTTTTATTATTATTATTCTTTAACAGGAGCAACTTTGCTACCAAAGGTTGCGACTGTACGGTGATACCGGACTTAGAGAAACTCATTCAAGATTTCTCTTGTGGAAAAAAGCCAATAGGTGCTATATGCATTTCTGGCGTACTCGTTGCACGAGTTTTACAAGGTGTTAAAATTACATTAGGCAAAGACTGTAAGTACAATTACAATTAATTGTACTTGTCTTATCTCATTTATGTCGTTATCTCTCATCTCTTCCTTTTTTCCTTCCTTCCTTCCTTCCTTAGTTTCTTTTCTTTTACCTTTTCTCCTTTTATCCTGTTAAACAACAATAAACTACAAAAAGAAAAAAAAAAGAAAAAGAAAAAAAAAATTGTAGGCTCACCGGATGACTGGCCGTACGCGGAAGCGATTCGTATAGTCAGACAGATGGGCGCGAAGGTGGAAATGAAGGACGTGAAAGGTGTAACGAAATGTAAAAAATACAACGTTTTCAGTACGCCTGCTTGGATGTACAAACCTGCGACGTACTGCGATATACATGCTGGCATCGGGAAACTCATCACAATGTTAAAAAAGAGCATTCGTCAGTGAAAGTCTTCGAGTAAATGGAAAATTTTGCTCTTTTGAGTCGATTGTATTATCCTTTTTTTTTCCCTCTCTTTTTTTTTTTTTTCAATTTTTATTTCTTTTTTTATTTCATTTTTTTCTGTCCCTTTTTTTTTCCAATCACGTACCCCCTACATGAGCATGTACATTGAACGTAATAAAAAAAAATTGTATTTTCACTCGAGTGATATTTTCTTTTCATTTTTCTTTTTCTTTCTTTTTTTAAATTTTCGCAAAAAAATAAAACAAACTTCGCTATTCTTCTATTTATTCATATATGCATTATTCATATATTTCTATATTCATATATTTTCTGTATTATATATATATATATTTATTTTTTTTCTTTTTTTTGTTCAACCTGTGTCCTATCAAAATAAAGAGTTGGGAGAACGAGAGACACGAATTTTCACGAATACATTTTTATATTTGTTTTTCTTATCGATCTATTAAACCTATCTAGATAAAGCTACAATAGTCAACAACAAATGAAATAACAATGGTTTCGACGAGATTTACGGCGAAGGATCGAGGATAATCCTTAATCGCCGTAAATTTCGTCCTCGATATAAAAGAAGAAATCATCGCTTTCGTGATTTCCGACGCGTCACGATCAATCATACTTAAAGGAAGGAGAGAAAAAAAAAAAAAGAAAAAAGAAGAAGAAGAAATAAGTTTATACGTAGGAAGATCCGGGATAGTTTTATCAAAGAGAACAAATAATAATAATAATAATAATAATAATAATAATAATAATAATAATAATAATAATAATAATAATAATAATAATAATAAGGATAATAATAATAATAATGATAATAATAATAATAATAATAATAATAATAATAATAATAATAATAATAATAATAATAATAATAATAATAATAATAATAATAATAATAATAATAATAATAATAATAATAATAATAATAATAATAATAATAATAATAATAATAATAATAATAATAATAATAATAATAATAATAATAATAATAATAATAATAATAATAATAATAATAATAATAATAATAATAATAATGATGATGATAATAATAATAATAATAATTAGCATTAGTTTCGTAGATCAACGAAGATTGTAAGAGAATAGGCAGTCTTTAGTGGTTCTACGAATGCGTACGTAATCGTTTTCTCTTCTTCTTTTATCTTCTTTTTTTTTTTTTTTTATTCTTTTTTCTTTTTTTCTTTTTTTCTTTTCGTATGTTTTCATTATCTATTTTCCTTTTGTCCCTTTTAACGTAAACATTGATAAATCTAAATAATAAAGACGTTCTGACCGTGATATACCCAATACTTGGATATAAAATAAAATAATATTGCGAGAATTACTTGCTGGAATAAACTACTACTATTCTAAATATTAAAGTAAAATGTAATGAAAAGTGAATTAAAATAAAACAAAATTAAATTAAATTAAATTAAATTAAATTAAATTAAATTAAATTAAATTAAATTAAATTAAAAATTAAATTAATATAAAATAAAATAAAATAAAATAAAATAAAATAAAATAAAATAAAATAAAATAAAATAGAATTATCGCGTCTTATTTTAGACTCATAGTGAAACGAGATGTACTAATAAAGAATCTATTAGGTACGATACTTAAATGATAAGAGATAAAAGTTACAAATAAGACGTATGACGCAGGCGAAGATATTAATCGTAGGAGACAAGAAATGCGAAAATATGATAAAAGTTAGAATTTCGTCAAAGTTTTTTTTTTTTTCGTTCTCGTCGATCGTTATACCTTTTCTTTCTTTTCTTTTCTTTTTTTTCTCTCCCTTACACATTTCAACCAATATATTTTTTGTTTTCTTTCTTTTGTTTTTTTTTTTTTTTTTTTTTTGTTTTTTTTAATCCTTTTCTTTCACTCTCGATTTTCGACCGACCAGAAGAAGTTCTCTCGCGCCTGGCCACGATGGATTATGATGGCATGTGCATGCAAATAAATAGCCGAGGATTTTTATTTTACTTATAGATACGGCGGTCACGAGAACTATGTGAAGTCGCGTGCGTCTATCCGGACTTGTGTGTTTAGTCTCTCGTGTAGGTTCCACGTTTTATCGCGCGAACGAGCTCGTCGTCGTTTCTCCGTACTCGTTTATTCGTTCCGGTATATAGGTTTACTCGAGCGTAACGAAAGTGCACGCGCCATGCTCTCGCACGATCAATTTGGCGCGTGCCCATGAGAATCCGGTCGATAATAATCATTACATTTTCTTTTATTGGATGACATCTCGGATGACAGTCTTGAATACGCACGCACGATACTTCCTACGATTTCATTTAACTCGTCAATGAGACTTATTATTGCTACTATTATTGCTGTTACTATCATCTATAATATACTATATATATATATATATATATTATCATTGATAACGAAATTTTTTCACGTATAATTCCGACGCGTTTTCTCTCGTTGAATCGTTTTCAAGGAATGGCCAATTGTTTGAAAACAAAAAAAAAAAAAAAAAAAAACAAAAAAAATAAATAAAAAATTATCTCCTTCGACGCTACTGAAACAACTTTCACGATCATTTTCGCTACCTCCGACAATCAAAAGAGGATTTGTAAAGACTTTGGTTGCCGATCTCGCGAGGGATTGGAGGAGAGGGGGCCAGATTATTTGCGCATAGGACATAACGATCCCAAAGTTTCTCGTTCGTTAAAACGTTAGACACTAATTAAGTACACAAAGTTCATTCTCAACTCAAAGCTAAAAGAGGCTCGACGGATACGCGTGATCTTCTCGCCTTATCCTCCTCGTATTGTTTCATTTTGATCAATTTCCTTTTTCCTTTGCTCAACTTCTTCCTTGGTACTTCGGTCGTTGTTATTTCCATTCCATTATTACGTTCCTCTTCCTCCAACATCCTAAGAGTTTCGATGATGTTTCTAGGTTCCGTGATACGTCCCGTAGTACTGCCATTTTTATTCGCATAAACCACAGAAAGATGAGAGAAACTTGACTTCGGCGGTGCCGTTATATCGGCGAAATCCCGGAAGTTAGCAAAGAAATCTCCACCACGAACCGGCTGTGGTTTAGGGTTCCTATAATAATTGGCACGAGCACGACCAGTCGTACCGTGATAATAAGGATTATAAAGACTATCCTCGGCGTTATAATCCTCGTTCTCTCTATCTTCGGGATAATAAGTTCCACCACGAATGACTCCGAAATTTCCAGAACCCAAAAGAGGATGTTGAACCTCTTTTGATGTTGTCGAAGCTGTTTGATATACACCACGATCCCGTTGAAAATAACTCAAGAATCTGTTTGGCCTATATCTTTGTTGTTGTTCGTTAAATGGTAATCTTTGATTGCTAAATAATTCAGCGAAAGACGGGAAAAAGTTTTGACTTTCAGTTTCTAAACTTTTATCAATGATCTCGGTTGGCTGAGTTTGAGGCGACAATACGGTATTTTTCGTTTCCTGATCATTCCCATTCCCTTCCTCCGTACTCGTTTCATTAAGTTTATCATCATTTTCTATCGTCGTTCTATCGATTTCTATTCTATCCGTTTGACTTTCTTCGACGTGATCGTCACCCCTCATCGTCTCCGTCCCATCGGTCTCCATATACATATCGGAATCATCTACGTCCGCATAATCCTCGCCGGTTTCTGAAGCGGATGCCATGGAATCCTGTAAAAGAAACAAGTATTATTTCCTCGTTACCTTGATTCTATCCTACGAGAAGATTGCCTTTCTAACGATAAGAATTACCTTAAAAGTCAGAGAAAGTTCAACGAATTAGAAAGCTTCATTTACAAATACCTGCATGTTGCTTCTTAAAACGATAAAAAAAAAAAAAAAAAAAAAAAAAAACACCACATATAAACACAAAATCCTTACAATAAATAAATTTAATTTCAAATAATACAAATCAAAATGATTTGTAACTTTTCTCTACATGTTATCATTAAAATTGATATTTCTAATCGATAATATTGAATATCGAGTATCTAATAATCGGAATAAAAAATATCTTCGAACGAATTTCCCCACATAAGTATAAGTTTTCCTACATTTAAAAAAAAAAAAAAAAAAAAAAAAAAGGAAAGGAAAGGAAAGGAAAGGAAAGAAAAGGAAAGAAAAATGTCGATTAAATTATAGACAACAATCTGTTTATATCTATAGAATGCGTATCTTTTCTACGAACTCGAGGATCAGTGAAAAGTAACAACGATGCAAAGTTCAGCATCCGACCATTGAAGAACGATGCTGCCCCACGATGTCTTTGCCTTGACATTTAAGGAATCTTCGTGGCAGCGACCGCCTTCGAAACTAGTTATCTCGTCGGCTCGGCGACTTTATGCGTCGGTTGAGGTACCCACGTCTAAACTGGCCAGCACGCGTTTCTCTAAGAGACGTGCTCTCTCTCTCTCTCTCTCTCTCTCTCTCTCTCTCTCTCTCTCTCTCTCGCACGTGTGCGCGCGTGCGTGCGTGCGTTCACGCGAGTCGCCTTGCGACACACCGACGACACGCCTAGCATTGTTACCGATATAGTCTTACTTACATACCTATGTAACTATCTTAGGTCAATTACATTACGTTCTCTAACGATAGTTTCTTACCTCTCTAAATTATATTAATAGATATTAATTACTTATGCCAGTAAAGTTCTATTAAACGATAAGAAAAATTGATAATGAATATAATTCGAACGGTTTATTTTACGTTAAACTATATACAACAAGCCAATAAATTATAATGAAATTTATTTGTCCACTTAGAAAAAAAATATAGAAATAATAAAGCATGTATCTGTATATATTTGTAAATACGTACGTATGTATTTATGTATGTATGTATGTATGTATACGTATTTCCTTTAACAAGTTTTTCAATTAAAGTCTTTACGAATATATTAAAGTCTCCAAGTGAGATGTTTCAATGTAAATAAAAACTATTTACATCGATAATCTGCTTATATAAGGATTCTCAGAAGGGAAATACCGGCTTATATAAATTCCACGAATTTATGTGATTCAGATTTACCACCGACTAAGCAGTCTAAACAATAGTATTTTATACTACCATTCACCTGTATGCACGTGAATTAAGAATGGCAATATTTTGAATGGCAATATTTTGAATGGCAATATTATTTCTTTGAAATATTAAAGAAAAACTATTTGTAGAAGAGTAACGATTTTTTCTTTCTTTAATTTTTTTTTTTTTTTTTTTTTATATTTTTCTAATTTTTTTTATACTATATTAAAATACTACATCGAAAGGATAATAATGATATGTGTTTAAAAATATCATACCTATCAAAGAAAGACGTCTCGCATATGTTTATTAATTATTATCCAAGTAGGAATGCAATATTTTTGCTTATTATGAATAATAAAGGATAACGATTTTACGATCGCCAAGTGGAATCGCCTCGTTACGATTTTCTTTTTATCTTACAACCCTCATTATAATAATCCATCGTTTTCCGTTGTCTCGTACTTTACGAACACGAATATATTCATTCGAACATAAAAACCATGAGTTACTCGTTAAATTATTCCGAAATGTTTTGTTCTTTTTTTTTTTCTACTTCTAATCATAAATCACTCGCTCTTAACTTTCTGCTGGTTTATAGTCATTAATATAATTGGGAATTTGAAAAAAAAAACAATAAAAAAAACAAAAAAAAAAAAAAAAAACAAAAAAAAAACAAAAAAGAGAAACGAAAAGAAAAAGGAAAAAATAAAAAATAAAAAAAAAGAAGATACACAGAAATCTATCGTCATAGTCATCGTCATTCTAAAGCAAATGAAACGACAATATTTCTGACGTTTGCAATTGGAATACCCTTAAACTTTTCATACTTATCCTATCCTTAGATAATTATCTCGCGTAGAATTTTAACGAGACGACACGATAACGTATAATAAATATTACACGTGATTTTCATAAAGGCGAATATCAAAGAGATAAAAAGAAAAGAAAGGAAGAAAAGGAAAAGGTAAGAAAAAAAAAAAAAGAAAAAAAAAGAGCAAGGGAGAAAAATTGAAAGAGTAAAAGAGAAAGAGAAAGACATAAGGACGATTACTCTTTTAACGAGGATTTTAATGCAGAATAATAGGCAATTATTCGAAAGGTAGTAATAAATAGTTAGGCTATTGCAAAAGTCTACTTGAAAAGATGAACAGAAGATAGAAAAAGAGAAATTGAAAAGGAAAGAAATAAATAGAAAACATAGAAAGAGAGAGCGAGAGAGAGCAAGAGAGAGAAAGAAAGAGAGAGAGAGAGAGAGAGAGAGAAAACAAAGCGCACACTTAGAATATTACGAATGAGAGAACGAGAGAACGAAGACGATCCCAGCTTGAGAACGGAAGACGGATCGCGAAAGGGAAAAAAAGGAGAAGGAAACGTTATTATTACGCGATTACGGAGACGTAAATTAGTCTCGCACGGCGATCTCGCAAAATGCGCGTTACGAGCGAAGATAATATTATTAGCCTCAACGTTTGCGAGCGCACGCGCTCCCCTATTAGCATCATCGTCAAATGCGCATGTATTACTCGTCTCATCTCTCTCTCTCTCTCTCTCTCTCTCTCTCTCTCTCTCTCTCTCTCTCTCTCTCTCTCTCTCTCTCTTTTTATTTCTTTCTCTCTCTCTCCTTTGTACCATCAGCGGTATACTGACTCGGTATGAATTATATGTGAATTAAGGGCAATCAACTCGTCGAATAAACGATCGGTTGTATGAACGAGCAAGATAGAGATACGTCATAAGTCCTTTCTATCACGAAGAGAAGATTCCCACAAATATATATATATAGATAAATATATATATATATATATATATGTGTGTGTGTGTATATCTAATCCATCTTTGATTCATCGTTCTAGTTCGTCGAATACATTCGTGAAATAATGCGCTAAGGAGTGAATATAAAAATGAAAGTAGGAGTAAAAATCTCAAGTCCCTTTTGAAAGTCGTCTCGTGTCGTTGATTGAGATACGGATCGTTGATCTCGCACAACGAGTTCCATGCATGTAGATAAATATATATATTCATGTGTGTATGTATAATGTAAATGCCAAAAATATGTCGCGCCTCGTTAAATGCATTATATTACGTGCAATTAATTACTATAAAGTTATAATACTATGAAACGCATTTTCGAAGGGGGACGCTACTAGTAACGTTAGTACCTGTTATTACTGATAAAATCTGAAACACACACACACACTCTCTCTCTCTCTCTCTCTCTCATTCACTCTCTTTCTATTTTTCTTTCTCTGTTTTTATCTTAACGCTGATTAAAGACCACGGATCCGGTCTCTGGACCAGATTAATTCTTCGAGAAATTATTTCTGACGTAAAGTTCGTACATAGATCGCGATAATGTGTTTCTCGTTTAAGTCATTAAAAAAAAAAAAAAAAAAAAAAAAAAAAAGAAAGAAAGAAAGAAAAAGAAAAAAATCGGATTTACGTTTTCACGTTCTAACTATTAAGAAATATATTAAACATAGTTTTGCTCGATAATTATGGTCAAATTATAGCTTTAAAAAAATACTAATCGGTCGGATCTATTTCTTTTTTTTTTTTTTTTTTTTTTTTTTTTTTCTTTTTTTTTTTTCTTCTTTTTTTTCCTATTTTTTCTCGTACTTTCACACTATCGATTAAAGAAGATTTTCGAGAATATTCATCGTCTCGATGTCCTTGAACCTCGAGATAACTTTCACCATTATTCTCACCTCGTGTGCGATGGCGTCCTCGGGAACCGGTGCACCATCTGAAAACAGAAAGACCAACTTGTGTTAATTTTTGTATCGATAAAACTCGAACGCATTAAACGCAACACGATTGAAATTTACGATCAATGGGAATATATCGAAGGTCGGATTATCAATTTTTCTTTTCATATATCGTGCATTTGAAGGTCTCTCGATATATATATATATATATATATATATATATATATATATATTTATTTATTTATTTTTTCTTTTTCTCTTTCTTTAGAAAAATAAGAAAAAGAAAAAAAGAAAAGAAAAGGGAAAAAATAAAAGAAAGAAAAGGTAGTTATTTGAAAGATTTCAAGTGACTTCGACTTGGCGAATTAACGACTATTCTCGTATGCAAATCGATTAACCGGTCTTATTTATCATTTCAACGTTCCTTCACGTCTCCTTTCACGTCAAATTAAATATTTCAAGTTCGATTAATTATTACGATAAAGATATATATTTTTTTTTTTATACGTCCATCGTCCTTCTTAAAATGATAAAAATTTATTTAATTATCTGTCAGCTAAAACAATAATTTTTTCCATGTAACGTTTTCCTTTATACCTATTTCACATTCATTACATATACGCGAACGTACAATTTACAATTTAATAACTTCGTCGAGAAATAGAAAATGATCACGAATCGAAAATAGAAAGAAAATAACTGTCCATAGAATGAGACATTGTACGAGAACAAGGAATTAATCACGACGAGAAAGTACGAATTACCTTTTTTTTTCTCCTCTCTCTCTCTCTCTCTCTCTCTCTCTCTCTCTCTCTCTTTCTCTCTCTCTCTCTCTTTCGCCTTCTCCGCCGCTCTCACCCTCCGTTCCGTTTAAAAATACACGAATCATATTCAATTAATTTTCGCGAAGGTCGACGTTGTCCTTCTTAATTAATAGAAATCTCTTTATCGGCAATTTTCTTTTCATTTTCTCAAAGAAAGTCAATCATTGGCGATTACACACGTCGATGACGAAAAGTGAATGGCAAATAAAGATTATAAATGCGTAAATTGCAAACACCTGCTACGTTAGAGAACAACGTAAAGGAAGAAAAATTGCTCGACTCTGAAAAGTGAAGAAAGAAAGATAGAAAAAAAAGAGAAAAAAAAGAAAGAAAAAAAAAGAAAAAAGAAAAAAGAAAAAAAAAGGGGGAAATAGGAGAAGAAGGAACACGTTAAATGCGATGCCTTTGTAATATAATAAGAGATGGCTCCAAGCGTATACACCGAAGCGAAATAGTTTTTAAACCTGTAGATTCGTATAAAACCTCTCAAGGATGTCGCACGTAGTAATCACCATAAAAGGAGACTCCAGAGTTTTCCTGTTTTTCCAAGAATCTGTACCTATTTGGCACGTTTCAAACGCATTGTCGACGCTGAACACCTTCTCGTATCTCTCTTTCTTTCTCTCTCTCTCTCTCTCTCTCTCTCTCTCTCTCTCTCTCTCTCTCTGTCTCTCTTTTTCTTTCTCTTTTAAAACGATCGATTCGTCGTCAAAGTCCTCAGCTAGAGTACGGCGTTGTTCGCCGTGAACACTTCCGACATTCTGAAGCCTACTTTTTTCCTACCCCCCCCCACCCCACTCTCCTCCCACCGAAGTCGGTGTAGCGTCGCGGCGTTCTTACTTGAATGGAAGGTGGTATCATGCATAGTTCTATATAATTAATATCTCGCTGTAATAGTTTCTTTTCTCTTACGTAAAGTGATGAAAGTGTCGTTATAATGCAAAAAAAAAAAAAAAAAAAAAAAAAAAAATTCGAAAACAGTATGTCGATTTACGATCGATACGATTGACATCGAATATAAAGATAAGATAATTCGTTCATCCCGTAAACACATCCCACCTCCCCCACCCCTCCATCCCCGCCCACGCCACTGCCACCCTTTTCCCACTCTACTTCACGCTTATTTTCTAAAAAAAAAAAAAAAAAAAAAAAAAAAAAAAAAAAAAAAAAAAAAAAAAAAAAAACATCAATAATTCGATAAGTAATTGCGCATTGATACTTCCACGATAATTAACGACGATAATACATTATTTAAGGAGAGAGAAAAAAAAGTTTTAAAAAAAAGTAAGAATTATTCGAATGCTATTAATGCTTTATATCGAACGAATATATATTTATTTGAATGAGATATTGATACTTTAAGAGATCGAAGAAAATAAAAATTGCTCCAAAAACGTCATTCTTTCCTTCTGTCTTTTAGGATGAGGGAGGGGGGAGGAGGATTGAAGGGAGGGAGAAAGTATTCGTAGACTCTCTTATTATGGTTGAGATTCAATTAGAACGGTATTCCAATCGCAATACTGGCCCTGCGATGGTTCCGTTTGGCAAGAACTCCCCCCACCCCACTCCTCCTCTTCGTCCTATGATTAATGGAGAAAATGTGCCATTAATGAGATCGAGTTAATTACTACTTGTAAATGTTGCAAATGGATTCGAATTGAATTCAACTAGTTTTCTTACAATCCTATATACCTCTCTCTCTCTCTCTCTCTAT